ACAGACAGACAGACAGACAGACAGACAGACAGACAGACAGACAGACAGACAGACAAATAGACAGAACGAGAGAAGGGAGAGAAGAAGATACAGGGAGGGAGAAAGAGAGAGGGACAGACAGACACACTGATAGACAGCGAGAGGGGTTAAAAAGAGAAATAGAGAAAGAGGAAGAGTGAGAGAGAGAGAGAAAGAGAGAGATACAGAGAGACAGAGAGACAGAGAGACAGAGAGACAGAGAGACAGATAGAAACAGAGACAGTGAAACAGATTGACAGACAGACATATAGACAGAGTGAAATAGGGGAGAAAGAGAGGCAGAGAAAGGGAGAGAGAGAGAGAGAGAGAGAGAGAGAGAGAGAGAGAGAGAGAGAGAGAGAGATGGGACCCTGGAGAACGAGTAGATTTGCTGAAAATTAAACCGATTATTCCTTTAATTACGGTGATATTATTTTTTCAGCTCAATAGAGATGAAGTAATGTATCTGCCTCTATTTGTTTATTAGAACGTATGTTAACTTAAGCCAAAAACAAGTCTTACAGATTATGGCCGAGGGAGGCAGGGGGTTGCCTAAAATATGCGATTGAAATCGCAGGCCTCCTTCTTTGTTAAAAGCCTAGTAACCTAGTGAACTAACTGCAAACGGTAGTACATTTTCTCATGACATGACAGCATCCCTGAGCATCGCCGTGGCAGCGAACACCGCGCGTATGTGTTTTCGCGCCCCTCGCCGGGCGATACGCGAAACAATGCACTGTTGTTATGGAGCGCCGCCAAGAGTGTCATCTCTCTATTACTGTAAACCCTCTCTGATCCAACGTTGTATCTTTAGGAACGGCACTTTTCAGAAACTGTAATTTTTTTAAACATTTTGGCCCGGTTCTATTGCAGATGGGCTTTAAATCCAGAGGTACCTCCTCTTAAAACAACCTTATAGAGTTGCAATGGGTATATATACTCAACATTTCTATTTCTATATAACCTCTAATTATTATGTCATTTCAAAGATTCTGTACTAGTAATAGAGAATCTTTTTTCATATCTAATGCAAGTTAATAAACCTTATGATCGTGGAACTGTAATTATAAGAATATAAAAACAGATTCCTATGAGTGTGAGCATAATGTTTGGGACTATTTTTAGGCCTGCCAACTGTTTAAATAACAGTTATACTGCAGTCTTAAAGTCACACCCCTGATCTTATGCCATTGTAGGAAAGATCTATACTGAACCTTCTCGGACAAGGGCGAAAAATCTAGGAGGGCCCGTGCAAGTTGCCCACGTTAAAGATCCCGGTGGTTCAAATCGATAGAGTACGGTATTGGCTTCGTCCGGCGCCCGGGCAAAATTCCAAATTTCCTACCTACTTACTGAATATGTTTAATGTGTCCTGCTAGATCAGGGAAACGTAGCTTTTCTGAGAGCATCCGAGCAAAGGAATGAATGGAAAATCATGATCGGCGATGTCTGTCGCAGACCTGGCACTGGATGATGATGATGATGTCCTGCTAGCTCATAATATGACCTTTTACAGTTGCAAGCGCCGAAAAACACTTACACTTACATTTTAAAAAAAACTAAAACAACAACAACAACAAAAAACAAAGAAAAGAGCGTGGCGAAACTGCATTATGTAATGTTATGAGGAACTTGACGGTCATCGACCCAAAGATTTTGAGGACGAGCCCCAGAGCAAGTTACAGTTATTTATCTTACACGAGTTGACAACTAAGAAGGTAGGCCCTAGTTCAGGGTCGTGGGCCTAGTTGGAAAACTTAGGGAAACACCGGATTGGGTAACATGCACGGCGCAAGCATGCGAAGAAACGCCAGTGCTATTAATAGAGCGAGGTTGCCAGTTATCAGGGGTCAGGTCATGCCATGCCTTGGTCGAGCCTGACCTTACCATTACCTTTTGTCCTTGAACTCATATCCAAGATGGCTGCTCCTGCACTGAGAAAGTCTACCTGCGTCTTTCGACTCTTCAATAATGCAGTTCCTTGCTCTATGCTGCAGAGCAGGAATAGGTAAGTAAAGTGATAGTTCCTTGTATGTGTATGGTTAAGTCTGAAGTATCTTTATTTTGTCATTTGAACTCTACTTTCCATGTTTTATGATCACGCACCGGCAACCTGAGTCAACCTCTGAAGTCTGGCAGACTTCGCTCGACCATGTCCTTGATACAAAGATCATTGCTGTAATCTATAGATTTAGACAGTTGGGTTTGGATTAAGTGCCACAATCTGTACACTCTTTTTATTTTGATACTTTTTTTTTGGGGGGGGGGGGAATTAAATCAAAAGAAATATGAAAGCATTACTTCACTGCCATTATTATTGAATTGCAGCACTTTAATAGTTCATTAAAAACTGGAGAGGTTGTTATTGTTCACACTTATTTCAGTTATACTGTTATGTCTATTTCTCGGGCTGATGTTACATGATCAGGATTATTTTGATAATTTTCTTTTTAAATTTCTGAGTAAATTATAATGATCTGTCAATGACCTTGCCTTGTTGGAAAAGGGGGATCAAATTAATAGTCACGTGCTATCTGCCTTGCAATGATTTTTCGTTCTCTCTGAAAATGCTTGATAGTTTGGTCCTAAATGTTTTGCATGCGAGGGTTACAAGTTTGTTTACGTTTTAATGTGCTTAGAGAGATTTTCTCAGCCGCACACAATTACAGGGCTCCCCTTTACGCACAAATGTGCATATATTACGCATTAAACCTGCAAATTACCCCCTTTAAGTTTTGGTGGTGAGTGAGCTTTACTCTTTAAAATTTCGTTTCGGGGGTTTGCATACCGTTAAAAACCTAGGTGGTGTGCGTCTGGCAATCATCATTTTCATGATTTTCCACCTTCTCTACCCCGAAGCCGAGTCAATGATTTAACAACACACCCACACACATACAGCGCAGTCACTTTTTGTCTGTGACTCTGTGTCAGAAGCAGTTGACCTAGAATTTACTTATCATCTGCGCACAGTTCCCGGCGACACCGGCTTGCTTGAGCACAGAAGCTCCGCCCACATTCTGGTCGCTCGCTTTATACAGTATTTGCCGGTGTCGTGCCTTGAGTTTACCCTTGCCGTGAGATCACCATCCTTCTTAACACACTAGATCTAATCTAGTAAACATGAATTGTTCACCATCGAACGACTGGGATGGCTCTGAAGAATAATGAATTAGTTTATTTTCCACAACTGCCACTCATCCCGATGTAATCGGGGTATCCAGTAATTATCCAGATTTTTTGCCCTAAATTTCAAGCATCTCGATTTTCCCAATTTTGATCGCGTGTATCCTGATTATTTTTTTTCCGTCTGTTGTGCCGGATTTTTGTAAAATCTTACTCTGCCTTCTTTTCTGTCGTGGGAAGCACTCATTTAACTTTTTGTCAGCAGAAACTCGAAACACTATTTTCCTAAATGTCGATGCCGAATTTAGTAGTTGTGTTGGATCTTTGCACGCCCGTGTTGTTTTAAGAACATGTATAATGGAAGTAGTATTGGTTTGGCATTCCGACTTCGGACTTCCTCAAAACCTAGACCCTAAATCATTTTCCTTTTTATTTTTGTTTCAACTCAGAATTCTCCAATGATGGCCTGGCTGATAGCTGTTTAGTGTAAATTGCGACACACAAATAATTTATATTATTCGTAGTTCTGCTATTACTTTCAAAACAAGCTTTGTCCGAGTTCTGGTTAGTCGGGCCCGTCATCAAGACCCTTCAGTAAAACTCTTTCAATCGCGCGATCGCACCTCGTGACATGACTCCCACCTAAGTGAGTTCCGCGTGTGTCGGGGACCGTCCGTTGAGTTCATGCACACTAGTTGAAGCATCTTTCGGAACTTATCATCCGGGGGGAGGGGGGCGCGTATAAAACACTCAAACTAGGAGAGCTTGACGTTGTACTTCAGGATTTAAACAAATAATGGTAAAACACACACAGGCATGCGTACGCACACTCACTCACTCACTCACTCACACACACACACACGCATGGGCACACACATCCCTGGAAATTTTTTAAGTCAGTATGGCAGTGACCTTGGTGATTTGTCGTTGATCCCAATTTTTTAAAACCAATTCCTGATTCCCCCCCCCCCCCCCCCCCGGGAATGGCTTAAAGACACTTCAGTCAGTGGCACCGCCCTGGGGGGTGATTCTGACTTTAAGATTTCATAGATTGGCTGGTCTGATTTTCTTTGTGCATTGCAGTCAGAATTGACCCGTTTTGGTTAGTCAACTTTATTTATTTTTGATTGGCTCAACCGCCACCACCCTTCCACCCTCCAAATGGACACAACTCTAGTTGTAGTCAATATTACTCATTTATTTCTTGCTGTTACAATGAAACCTTAAGTTAATTAAAAATCGTTAGCATTCAATCATAGTAATGGTCACTCTGTGTGAATATGCGTGTAAGTTAAATGTTAACATGCAAAAATTCTTACTATAGAATTAGGAGATAATTGACTTTTACTCTTTAAGTTTCTAAAACAAGGGTTTAAATACCCCTTAAGATGAAAACCAAAGGGTGAAGGAACCTCTTAAGTAAGTCTGAAAAGGGGAGCACTGCAATTAGGATTGTAGGAAAATGAAAGCATAGTAGATCTAGTCATCTTAGAAGAAAAAGACATGTACAGTATCTGAGTATAATAGCTTTCTGGTGTTTAGACTAACATTATATTTGACATTCTAGATGCTCAAGGAACCTTCCACTGTGTGCCCCCTTTTTCCCTTTTTTTGTATTATAACGCCTGGTATACATGCTCCCGGACTTATCATCTTGTGGCAACATCATCATGTAATATTTTAAGCCTTTTAAAATAGTTTTATCCCATTAGTAAAACCCTTACTGTTCTAAGAATGTCAATACATTACAAGTGACAAGAGTTGTACCTTGGTAGAATAATCAATTTTTGTTAACCATATAAAAATACAAAAACTTGTGTCCTAATGGTAGTCTTCGATATAAATCGCCACAGTGGAGTATGGAGCAATGTGGAGATGGGACCACCAGATGCCATCTTGGGCGTCACGGAGGCCTTCAAGAGGGACACAAACCCCAAGAAGATGAACTTGGGTGTTGGGGCCTACAGAGACGATGCCGGGAAACCATACGTCTTGCCCTCTGTGAAGCAGGTAAGTGAAAGGAGAAAGTATGCTGTAGAGACCTTGGGGAGGTTGTTCATACGTTTTCATTTTTAGTGAGATGAAGGTAAAGACTTTGAAGACACAGCTGTATGTTGGAATAATGTACACATTGGACCAAAGCCATCTGTAATACTATTGTGTGTTTTTGCAAACTGAGTGTGTGTGTCCTGGAAGCTTTCAAGGAATATAGGAAGTTAAGAAACATACCCTGCATGCCAAGTACATAGTATAAAGGTTAATCTTAGAAGTATGATGATACATGGTTTGTTGCCTTTGGTGAGGCAAATGAAAACAGGGGACGGACATATGTTTACACTGTGTGATAAGATGCCTAGACTACAGCAGTTTTGTTTGTTTGGTGAGATAATAAAGACATTTTACTATTCAGTAACCGATAAGAAGTTTGTAAAGGAGTTTTCATCTGTCTGACATGCAAGATGAATGTCTGAAGAAGATATATATTTAAACAAGATTGGAGTTTTTTTTGAATGTGCACTTGTTCGTTGTGTAAATGGAACACCCAAAATTTTAAAGCATAGCTCTTTTACTTTCTCAGGCTGAGTTGGAAGTCATCGACTCGGGACTGGACAAGGAGTATGCTGGAATTACTGGTGTCCCCGATTTCTTCAATTCAGCCATCAAGCTTGCCCTCGGGGAGGACAGCTCTGCCGTCAAAGACGGACTGGTAAAGATCTCACAGATGTGTTCCTGGCATCTATAGCTCATGAATTTGAGAGAAAATTGAAAGTAAAAGTTGTGGGAATGATTAGCTAATTTATCAAGACTCAAGACTGAAAGATATTTTAGCGTCTATTTTATTTTTGTGTCATATATATTTTTAAGGGGTACTTTTTGTTGCTTTTTGAGTGTTGAAATATGGTTTTGTTTTAAGTTTTACATTATGTCAGTAATGATAAGATTTACATTGATGACTTTTTGCCTTCCTGTGTTGGGGAAGTTTGAGTCCCACACATTCAAGAGTCTTGCCCTGGATGTGCTAAGGCATGAGCAATAATTATGTGCTGTGCTATGATTAGCTTTGTTATTTTTTGTGAATTTGTGTCCCCTTTTAGTGGCAGAAATCCACTTGGTATTGTAACTGATTATGTTATGGCTCATTGACATCAATGAAATTCTAAAAACTTTTGATTATGTTTGAAGAGAAGTATCATTCATTGATATATATTAATAGTATATAATGAAAGATTATTGCTTAGGTATGGTTATAATCAGTTACCTTGGCTTGGACTAACTGAAATACTGCCAGTTCTGTTTGCTAAAATTTTCAAATGGGAAATGTGAACTTTTGTTAAAATTTTACTCATCCACATTTTAGGTCAAAGTGAACTTACCAATGTCATGTTTTGTGAAGTGTGAAATACAATTGTTATAAGAGATAAGAATGCACATACTGTTGTTGGTAGCATGACCTAGTCAGATACTCTGTTGTTGCTCTTCTTCAGATTGTCTTCATACGGGGTTGATCATGTGACTTAGTCAATCAGCTACTCTGTTGTTGATCTGTTTCAGAATGTCACCACACAAGCTATCTCTGGAACTGGTGCTCTTCGTATTGGGGCAAACTTTTTCGTAAGTCTTATTTCATCAATGAACAGTGTTGTAATTGATTGTTTGGAGCTTTGTTGTGAATGTATGGTCATTTACTTTCTTGAAATTTGATTTAGAAAGCTCGGTTATCGGGTAGCAGGGAGAAATTTAAGCTTTCATAGAGTCTAAAGGGATGTGCTATCATCAGGCTGCTGGGTGTTCTATAAATTTGAGTAGTCATCATGGACTTAAGTATTTGGCAGTGTGTCTGTTTATAACACTTTGTAGATCCTTGGTCGATAAATATTTTTACAAAGTTAGCCCCATCAATTTGCATGTTCATTGCTATTGAATGTTTTTGTTCTTGATCATTTTGTAAATTAAGCAGCATTTATATTTATTGTATTATATTATCAGACCGTGTTTGTACATTTGTGGTCACACATATTATGTGGATGTCTCTGTCTTCAGGTTTCTTAATTTTTCTTAGTTAACCTGTATTATGTCTCTGAACTAGGATTTTTTAAAAATCCTCAGAACAAATGGTACTCTCAGAGCAAGACCTTTTGGCTCCCCACTCCCTCATGGGGTAACCACACCCCAATCTTCAAGTATGTATTGAAACTGCAGAGTATATTGTCTAATGGAGTGATTTTCATAAGTTTATAGCATGTTTGAAATGAGTCAAGTATATTGACTGCTTTGTGTAAAGCTCTGCCTTGAATCATTTTGAAAAGTGACGTATGACGGAGTCTCACACTGAGCATTTGATATGTTATTTCCTTAAAGATGTTTTAATGTCTGATAACTGTAGTGTCTTGTATCAATTTTAATGTTTCATAAAAACGATGTGGAAGGGAAATATGATTATGTCATATAAAATATAATTTTTAATGGACAAAAAAACCAGTTCGTTTTAATGGAATGCCAGAGCAATCCTACAGTATTGTTTAATATTGTTTCTGTCTTGGATTGATGTATTGTAAAACACTGACCAAAATATGTTAAAATGTCCTGGAAAGGTACAGGATTCACTACTCTGATCATTGTCACCTCACCTGCATGTTTCAGATCTTTACTTTAATGCATTTCATCTATGAGTTAAAGATGTGTGTGTAGATCCAAATTCTAGCAGGGACTTGAATCTCTAATGTCTGCCCCAAAGTTATCCCATCACAACCAGCTTTTGCTTTTGAATCGTTTCATTGCTTACCTCAGTTCTTAATGTGTCTGCATCAATCTGTCTTCAGGCATGCAGGTCTGAATGTGTCCTCCTACCGTTACTACGATCCCAGCACTTGCGGATTCGACTTCCAGGGAGCCCTGGAGGACATCAGTGTACGTTTGATTCCTTTGGTTCAGTAAAGCTGCCTTTTGTTTAGATAATAATAATAGATAGCATTTGTATAGCGCAAATCCCTGCTCAACAGCAAGCTCTATGCGCTTCACAATCTATACTATTACCCAAGCAGACCTGAGAGCATTGTGAAACAAACTCAACTTCCTGGGAAGCATACAGTGCAAGCAGCCATTTATAGGCGCTAAAACACTAACATTCTGACAAGATCTTTCGCTGTCTATGGCTGGGTACCCATTTCCACCGGGGCGAAGTGAGGAAAATTCGTGTGAAGCGCCTTTCCCAAGGACACAACGTCTGGCCCACGGCTCAAACCCCCGACCCCGCAACCGTACGATTATGAATCCGGTAGCTTAACCACTAGGCCACCGACGCCACTGACAATGATGGGTGGAATATCATGTTTGCTTATAGTTGTACGATGAAAACTTACATATGATTTTGAACCCTTATGTACCATTCTGTAATGGTGAAATTTTTAATCCACATTGTGAAAATCTTTTCACTTGTTGTGAAAGGAAAAGGATTTATTTTCAGTAGAAAAGATATTAAAAATTTCAAGGTAATATAATCAGGAAGTACTTACTGAAAGACGAAATTGTTGTTTTTTTGTTTGAAAATTGATGTTTTGATTTGTATTCAGAAATCGGTCGACACATATTTGATTCATTTGTGTATCCAGACTAGATTTATGTATGCTTGAATTTTATCTTTCTCAGAAAATCCCAGAGGGAGATATCATTGTCCTCCATGCCTGTGCCCACAACCCCACCGGTGTAGATCCCAGGGTACGCCTGTGTTTATTTGTGTACTTGTTGCTCATCAAACTCGTCTTTGACTGGTGATTCAGAAGCTGGATGCTTCTCTCACTGGCATTCTTCTGTTCTCTAATAATAATAAATGAAGTTTTTATTGTGCTCTACCCCAATTAAAAGCATAAGCTCTGAGCGCTCTATTTAGTCACCGACTGCAGGCACTCTGTATGTTTAGGATATGACGTTGATGCTGCTTATGAAGCAATTAAATTTCTTTTGATTATACCTAGTACATATTACCCATTCAATACAGACAGGGGTCCATCTTTGATTTTCCTTCATTAAGTAACAACATGCGTGTTTTTCAGAGAATTTGATCTATAAAGAGAGTTGTTGTTATTGATCCGTGATCTAGGCTACATCACTTCCTTCAATCGCAAATATCTTGAGTTATATTCAAGAGAAATAGATATTTATTTCATTTAAAGCAAGGCAAATAAATCAGCTTTCAGATGATACCAATAACTCCACATGCCCAAAAATTGACGAGCGCCCGATTCCACCATGTCGTAACACATATATCTTATTCATCTTATCTCATCAATTTCATGAATAAAAAAACATTTCTCCTTATGTTGATTTCCCTTCTGCAGCCAGAGCAGTGGAAAGAGTTGAGTCAGGTGATCAAACAGAGGCGACTTTTCCCCTTCTTCGACATGGCCTATCAGGGCTTTGCTAGCGGAGACACCAACAAAGACGCCTTTGCCGTGCGCAAGTTTGTCGAAGATGGTCACCAGATTGCCCTGTCACAGTCTTTCTCCAAGAACATGGGTCTCTATGGTACGTTGAAAAGGAAGGGGCTTTTATAGTTGTATTGGGCTTGCAGTGTATAGAGAGTGGAAGAGTTGTTTAATTTTTAACATAGGAAGAATTTGCTCTTGATCAAATTTTTAAAAATTGTTATAGAAGGGTGTCTATTTCTTCCCACTCCCAAATCTTTGGAATAAGAGCCACGTTTGGTTATGCAGCCGGACAATTGAAAAGAAAATTTTAATTCTCCATTGCCTCGGCCTTGCGTTTTAAAATATCCATTGCTTATTTAGCCAGTTTTGTCTTGCTCTTTCCCACCTCTATGTCTGACCCTGTCGTTTTATGCAAGAAAAATTCTGAAATTATGCAAACTGAGCCCAAAAACGAGAAATTATGCGATTATGTTAATTTTAACAAAGAATGATAATGGAAAATAATCAGAAATTATGCAAAAAGTAATCAAATTTTGCTAAACTATGCGGGGTGCATTAAACCATGGGGACAGCTAAGTAGTCATTAGTGTCTGCATGCTTTTTTAAATGAAAACCACCAAATGGGTGTTAACTCGTTTAGAATTTACATTCTGGTAATTCGACATTTGCAGATGTGCTGTTGTAGGGCATTTTTAAAAACTTGAACTGTTTTTCAATTCTGTTTTCTATATATCTGAAACTTTAAAAAGCAAGCAACAGCATGCATACAATGAAACATGCAAATTGTGTTTCTAATTATGTATGTGTGATGGTTTGAAGTGTGCTGCAGCATTGTGTTTGGTCTGCTGCCGATGTGACATATGTGTCTGCCGCTTCTATGAATAATTAGTATGTCTTTGTGTCATTGTATCTAGTATGCCATTGTGTCTCTCCCCCATTGTGGGTGGTTGGCAGGTGCTCTGGTGTGGTTTGCTCTTTCTTTCCTATCTAACATCTGTCGTCCTTATCTCCCCTCCTTCTTTTTTGTGTTTATTACTCTCTTGTAACACCTCTAATCTTCGGCACTTATACTTATATGACTTTATTATGTTGCAAGTGCCGTATAACTCTTACTAAAACTAAAAAAACCATCTATCATCCTTATCTTCCCTCCTGCTTTTTTGTGTTTGTTACATTCTTGTAACACCTCTATTATTTGGCACCTTATTATGTTGAAAACTCTTACTATAACTATCTCTCTCCCATCTAAGCGGAATTACCTTTACTATTCGGTCAAACCTTCATTCTTTTTATTTGCTCCCTCGTTAACTCGTTATGGTTTTGTTCTCAGGTGAGCGTGTCGGAGCTTTCACCATCGTGTGCTCCTCTCCGGAGGAGGCTGCTCGCGTCATGTCCCAGGTGAAGATCATCATCCGACCCCTGTACTCCAACCCCCCTATCCATGGAGCCCGAGTGGCTGCCAAGATTCTCAACACACCAGCACTGAATGCACAGTGGTAGGTTATTACATCCACTCTCAAAGTTGTTTTTAGAATATTCAAAGTTCAACTTTTTTTGGCTGAAGTCTACTTAATCCTTAATTTTTTCTTAAGTTTGACATTATGTACTCTTTTGATCGTGCCATTTTGTTGTTGTGTTCTTTTAAAAATTAAATCAATTTTAGGTCAGTTGGTCGTCATAATTAAACCTGGTTTGTGTGCACACAAAAAGGGCCTTATGAGGCTGATGGCTTTTATGTAAAGGAGGATGGATTAGTATAGAATATACTGATGTCCCAAGACAGAGCGACTCTTTTGGACTAAATTAAATTTTTCCGGTTTTATCGGTTTGTTACAGCAGTGTGGCACACATCCTGCCTTTTGTCAAAGGCAGGACGACATATATACTTCTGAAATAGGAGGGGTAAAGCTACATAAATGACTGATCTCAATAATATGCGTTAAGAGGGGTTTTTTTTGGCCTTTTTTCCCAAAATCATGAAAAGTACATTTTTTTCACTCTGCCTCTGGACGGCCATGTAGTAAAGCTAGTGAGTCCTTGTCCATTGTGCGTAGTTTAGCTTTTCTTAGATCTAAATGTAAATGTAAATGATTCCCTGCCACACCCTGCACAATCACAAAGTGTTGGGGCTGACTGCACAATTGTGTATCCTCTGGAAGATACCGTCTTAAAATGTATCGTACCTCCAAGACACCCTGACCATTCTATCTTCTTTTATGGTCTGTTGTTTCTATAAAAGTATTTTACTTTAAAAATTTTTGCAGGAAGAAATGGGATCAGTAAATTTGTGTCGCTTTGCTAGGTCCAGGATGATTGATTATGCGAGGGGGGTTCAATAAGTCTTTATATGAAGAAATCATGGTAGAATAATTAAATTTTGCCTTCAGACAATCTAACAACAATAATCGACCAATACTTGAACAGATATACAGCTGTGACACGGCTGTTCCCGAGCGGAGCACTTAGTTACCTGAGGAATTGACCCGTTCAGCCATGCCGCGCCCGGGTGGTCATGGAGGTCACTTTGACCTTTGCTCTACGAGTGGACTTTTGTTGTGACTTAACAATTTTCATAAAGTTTCATATCGTCATCGATTCTTTGCCCACAGACAAATCAAAGTCAAAATACTATCAACAGATAGAGGCATTCTTGAGCTTTACAGCAAATAACTTTTTATTGATATTCATAGCTGGGCACCCTTTAAAACATGGAGCAATTGAGAGCAACTTTGAGGGAAATTTTTACCTGGGTCTACTTTTTAAAATTACGATATTTTAAAATGTGAACCCCTGATCTATAAAACAATCAGTGGTATACAACAGTGACATGATAAGCTTTGAGAAACACTTACTTTTGGTTCGATTGGTGAAATTGTAGAAGATTTACTACTGTCGAGCTCATGAAACGAGGGATTTTTCGTTGTCTCCTCACAGTTCAAGCAGAAATAGTTAACTTGTAGAAGGTTCACTGCTATCCAATTCATGAAACAGGAGTTTCCTCATTGTCTTCTCACAGCTAGAGCTGCTTTCACTTTCACAAACACAAATATAATGAATACTCAGAACAATAAATGCAAAAGTGTCTTTAAGTTCTAAAGCTAGTTGTCTTCCTCTTCTTTCCCTTCAGTAACAACTTTCAACTGCTTCCCTTTTCACTTAGTTCCCACTGTCCTCTTCTGCAGTTTTGATATGCTGAAGTGAACAAGTTCGCCACCCTCCTCGTTCATTGAACCTAAATCTAGGCCAAATCCATATCAACTGTACCTTCCTTTTCTCTGCCGGGGAGTAACGTTTTCTGCGTGTCATTTATGTAGCGAGTGTTTCTTCTAAATGAGACAATGGTTGTGTTATAGGTCTCTGAAGTGCATGCTCTAGTGATGTGTCTTTAAACTGTGTGAAAGGAGATGTTGCACTGTCTTTGAACTCTTTCTTTGTACGTTTGGATTTTGTCGCGGCTAGTGTTTCAAGGGTTAGATCTCTGTGTGGGGAATTCACTGGTTATATTTCTAGTGATGATTGATCTACTATGGATGTCTGTTGAGTACTTTCATGTGATGGTTTGTCTGCTGCAATTACATAGGTCAGTGTTTCAACAGATGGAGGCTCTGGTGGGTTTTTAGGGCAAGATGGTGTTTGATGTTCTTTTCTAATACAGCCTTTATTTTGAAGTGGGCAAATGGAACACACAGGGGAAGCATCTACAGTTTTATTTTGATCGAAAGGTGTCCAGATGTGTAAACTTTCTTCAATACTTTTTAGTGCAGCAGCTAGGGTTGCTTCTCAAATTTTTAAGGTGTATATGCGCTGTAGACCTACACATTTGTTGCACAGTGTGCAGGATGTGTGTCTGCACTATCCCAGTCCACGTTCACATGATAGAGAACGAGAATCGAGTACGTCATTCTTAAAATTTACACTAAAATATTTGCTCTAGTCAGCCTTCTTAACCTTTTGACTTTTGTCCTCGCACGTTCTACACAATTTTTAAAACACTCAAGGTGTAGTTTCCGCGTGTGTTCCATTTTCACTCTGGTAGCAAACTCTCGTAACAAGTGTCGACAGAGAATCTGCGAAAGTGAAAGCGGGACCTCGGGTGAATACCGCACGGGCAGCGCGGCGGCCGGGAAAATATTACGGGGTAAAGTGACAAAACTCGCCGTCCTGCTAAAGTTTTTTAAACCAATCAAAACACTTTTTGCACAAATAACCCCCTTACTGACTCTTAATACAGCAGATAAAAAACTGGTTACAATCTAAGGTTCACGAATGGAAAAAAAATCCTGATCTTTGTAGCAATCCGAGAAATACTTGCACTACAAGGTAGGGTTAAGTACAGAGGCAGTGTGTGTACATGATTAGAACTAGAACCAAACTAAAGGATGCGTGTTATTGGGGAGAATCTGAGCTTTCATTTGATACCTCACACACCCATAGTGATTGATAAGAGAGGACATTTACAGGGGTCTAAATCAAGTGAAAATTACAGGCTTTCTAACCAAAATCGGCTAACAGCGCTATCGCCCAGGGAGCGATGCGTGGTCCGGCTGTCAGGTGGGATTTATGACCCCGTGAGGTCAGCGGACGGGTTAAACTAAGTGCTCCGCAAGGATAGTAGAACTGAACAGCCGTGGTGAGTCAGCAAGTGTTCAAAATTGATTCCCTCGCGATTTTCAGTTTGTGACCATCCCTGTATTTCCTGTGGACTCCTCAAACGTTTTCTGCCCCTTTTTGACTGAAATTAGATGAGATATGAGGCAGGCTGCTTCAACCTTGCTAAGCTGTTACTGCAACTGTCCCTCTGAACGTTTTTTTCCCCCTGTCTGAGAGTTGTGTAGGAAAAGTGAATGTGTTGTTCTTTCTGTCCTATCAGGTTGACGGAGGTGAAGGGCATGGCCGACCGCATCATCGACATGCGTGCACGACTGCGGGATGGTCTCAAGCGGGAAGGCTCCAGTCACAACTGGCAACACATCACAGACCAGATCGGCATGTTCTGCTTCACTGGACTCAAGCCTGATCAGGTCAGTTAGGACATCTGCTACTAGTGTAGGGTCAGTGTGCCGCAAGTTTTTCTCAGTTCTCTGATTTTTAAGAATTTTATGTGAGCAGCCTCACTAAGTTGAAAACCTGGCTGTACCAATGAAAATCAGAAAATCCGGCAGTCCCACAGAGCTTGGTTTTTAATTTTTAGTAAGCATTTTGTAGCACTAACAACACTATCAGGTCATACAAGAGCCAAATATTAGAGGTGTCACAAGAAACAAATACAAAAGAGGGAGGAGAGATAAGGACGACAGATGTTCGATAGGAAAGAAGGAGCAAACTACACAGAGCACCCGCCAACCAGCAGGAATTTTGGTTTAATAAGGTAACTCCATTGTATATATATATATTTAGCGACTGCAGTGTTTTTTGTTGTTGGGTACTTGATGCCCAGACGACACCAGAAGACATCATAACTCATTTTAGTCAATAACTTTCCGACGGCCTTCAATTTTTTGTTTGTTTGTTTGTCCCAGGTGGAACGTCTTACCAGTGAATTCTCTGTGTACCTCACGAAAGACGGTCGTATCTCTGTCGCCGGTCTTTCCTCCAACAACGTGGACTACCTGGCCAACGCCATCCACCAAGTGACCAAGTAGGATGGTCGCCAGACACACAAGCGCGCAGCGCAACGCAGCATGGGCACAATACACTCCAGCCCTGGATCTTTGCAGAAACGATTTCTGTGATATTGTTGCTCCTCTCCGAACGTGTGGATGAAACTTCTTGTTCTTGTTGACTTTCTGAAGAAAATTTGAGATTTATTTGTTCTTGTCTTATGGTTGAGGAATTTCTTGTCACCCCACAATAACAAGTATTGAGGAATGGGAGCTGTGTGATGAATGTAGACTGATAAACCTTTTTTTTTTTTCATTCTTGCTTTTAATTTTAGTGTCATAGATATATTTATATATATTTGCACATGTATCTCAATTTGTTTGATTTTTTTCTTTAGAAACCTTTTTTTTTTTTTTTGGTCGTTTATTTCACGCATAATTGATGGGTTTTTTTGTGCACAATACTTAAGAGAGGGCGATTGCTGGTGCTTACATTTTTTGCGGAGCCCTTTTTCCTGGATTCCTGTAGTTCTTTAAGAGTTAGACTTTAAAAGTTGTAGCTTTGTGTGAGGGTAAGAATAGATATGACTATTGCCGATACCAAGGCTCCAGTGTGAAAGAAGTCTCGTGTGCACTCAGTCTCCCATAGTCTCTCACAGTCACAGCAAACACATCATCACTCAAAATACTCTGCTCACCGAGTCCTCATGGTGGCACAGCTTATTGCCTGTTTTACAAGGACGGAATTGAAGTGATACTTTGTTGAAAACATTATCGAGAATTTCAGTGCTTTATGTAAGAGTGGTCCATTATTGGAAATTGTTACTTGTTTTTGAGGTTAGTGTTACCAAATTTTAGAGCGCTTGTGTTTATACTGCTCAGTTTTTGTACTTAGGATTGCTACGTCAGTCTGGATTATTTCCTTGTTCTTTTTATGCCATATGTCCATTCGTAATGAAGAACATGTTAATTCTGGAAAATGTATAGTATACCGGCCTAAGCAAACACATTTTGAAGCCTTTTACCTTTCATTTCATTCTGAGGCAATCTACATCTACACAGTGCCTGTTGTCAGCGGTGAAAATACCAAATCAAAATAAGAGCCAAAAAAAAAACGTCTTCCTTTTGGAGCTTTTGATCTGGTCATATTTTGCTTTGGAAGACTAGGAGGAAATTTGTTTAGTGTGCTGTATTGCTTTATAAATTTTGTGTGCACGTGCAACGCACTCAAAACTACATTTTGTTTGTTCGTGTACTCCTGATGGGTTTGATTTTGATTATACAGCTGAAGGACGTGTGTTGGAAGGGCTTTTTATGTAAAAAATGAATAATAGCAATTTGATCTCTGATATTATCAGCTGTTTCTGTGTTTTGTGTTGCTTTACAGAAGTGGCATCGGCAATGTCCCGAGTGCTGGTGATGCGCTTGTTGTAATGACGTACGTCCATCTCTGCTGAATGTTGTCCTCTGTTCACATTTCTAGACAGAATTGCCTATAGTAGTGATGGGAGGGATGTTTTTTGCAACATTTATCATGTTGACCATGAATAAACTGATAAATACAGTATTTTGTGTGTAAAACTTGCTGTATTTCATTTAAGGAATTTGAAGTCAGTGTGCAGGTGACTGGAGAGTGCTGTTGGAAGGTTCTACTTTCTTTCTCTTTTTCTGTAGGTTTTATATATGTCTTTATCTAGTCTTTTCTCATCTCCAAATATCATTATTATAGATTCAATATGGTGGCTCTGATGGTCTCATTCTGAACGTCCCGGGTTCGAAATCTGACTGCAGCAAAAAAAAATTATTTTTCTAAAATTTTTCATCTCTTTTCGTGTTCTCTAGTCATGTGTCATGATACCATCTGCTTTTATCACCACCACCCCCCACCACTTTCTGCCCCCTCCTCTTCTTGGCTGCTCTCTCCAATACTCCTGACTCATTTGACTCCTGGCTCTTTCTTGCTCAACTGTTGTTTTTCAGCCAAGCCCGTGATCTTTGGATAGGCAGATCTAAGGGGCCCTACACATGTACGTTCCGACCTGGCATTTTGAACAGGCATTGAAACAGGGCAAAACCACCATTTGATGAGTGGGCGCGTCATCCACTTCTCGCGTGGTTTAACCACAGCAAGTGTACTGACAATGGCGATTTGCTTGCTATTTATGTGCTGCTCGTTGGGAAGAATTTTGTTTTCTCTTAAATTATTGAAAAAACACAAATTCTGCTCTGATCTTGCCTTAAAAATGGGTTGCTCGCTTCAAAAAATGTAATCAGATTTTATGTGCGGTAAATCATTTTGAAGATATTGGCAGTGACAAGATAAGCCTGCTAAGCTTGAGACATCACACAAAGGCTGTCGTCGACGGAATGCGCTGAATTGTAGCCAGAAAATCGAACATGTCTAAACCGCCTGTTCGGCCTCCCGGTTTAACTTTTCGCAAGCAGTTTTTCATTCACATCTGCGGTTCTGCTGCTAGGTTTGCCTTTCCATTCCGAACCAGCAGTTTGGAACGTACATGTGTTGGTCCTCTAACACTTAACCTTCTGTGATAACAGTGAAATAACTTGATGTCCTGTGTGCAATGTGTTTGCATACATCAAAGATCTCTAGGTGATCGATCATACAAAATTCTATAAGAGTAGGCCTCAGCCGCAACCTGGGCGAAATTCAAAATTAATTTCAACCAAAACTGAAAATAGTCAGCATAAAGTTATAAAGAATTCCTTCGAAATCAAAGTGTGGCAGCCTGAAACTGAAAGCAAGAGGGTAGGAAAAACGGTCACATTCATAAAAATCAGTTGCACTTCAGGCTGAAGAGCCAGCAATCAAAGTAAGAAGTAGAAGGTTCAATATTTACTACACTTTGCTCTTAGCTAGAGAAGTCACCGTAGAATCTTTCCAGCTGGTATGGTGCAACTTGATTTCACAAAGTTAGAGGTTTCCAACAATAGGGCCTACCTTGTTTGTTACTGTCCCTCTTTCTCTTTCCCACCACTGTATGCTTGTTATTGTGTCAATGTTCTTCTCTCAAACAAATGCCTCGATCTGGCACTTTTTTTCCTCGCTGCTGCTTTTAAAAAAAGTTTTAATAAGTTATACTACACTTACAACATACAGGTCATACAAGTGTCTAAGATCAGAGATGTTACCAGAGATTAACATACAAAGAAGAGATAAGGACAACAGGTGTTTGATGGGAAAGGAGCAAACCACATTAGAGCACCTGTCAACCACCCACCTTGTCACCAGTTATTGGAAAGCAGCCAAAATGATGCAACTGTGAAGTGTCCGTGTTATCAATGCTTCACAAAGTAAGACAAACAAACATCAAAGAGAATGACATCACCAAGGATTCACCATAAATGAATTTTTTTTTACTTGTATAAGTAGTAATAAATATAAGTGGTGAACAGTATTTCCTTCATGTCTTAGATACCATTACGGAGCATGTACAGAACACAGGGGAAAACATCTGCCTCTCTCGCCCGAACGCAATTCACTTTCAGACAAGCGAGATGCTCAACTCTAAGGGCAGATACAGAAATATGTACAAGACTCGGATGAGATTAAAGCAATTGTAGTTTTACCTTCTCACCAAATAACCATCAATGTTAAAAATAAACAATTTCTTTGTGATGACAATGCAGAGCTTCCAAACAGATATGGCAAAATGAAAGCAAAGCTGTAAAGAGAATAAACTCAGCAGAACTTCAATTCCACTGGCTACTGAGTTGGGGATTTGATGAATGGCAAAGGTGAGCCCAAATCAGGTTTTTAAAAATAGCAGTAACGTACATATATAACACGATCTTATGAGTTTGGATAGGCCAAATATACACGTAAAAATACACATATTGCATATCTAAATCTCATTCATCTAGTATCAGAAAAGATTCTTCAAAAACAGCTTCTTCAAGTCCACTCACAGTACAAAAATCCTTGAATAGCAAAAAGTTTTATTAAAACAAACTTCTACCCTACCCAAATAAAGCACTAAAATGAATGACATTCTACAGAAGTTAATGAAAAACACTTAACTAAAAACTTTGTGCAGCAAACAAGTAACAGTTCAAGTCCACAGTGGAAAAATGATAAGAAGTCACAAATCTGAAATTATCAAACTATCTATCGCCACTAAAATGTGCACCGCTTTCATTCATAGTTTGCTCTCAAAAACTGGTAAAAAACCTCAGGCCTAAGTTAGACAACAGAGCTTTCCTTAAAAGTTACAAAAGAAAAATGATCCCAGTATAGTGTTTTAACCTCTTTATAATCATTTCTCTGCACTTGAAAATGTAACGTTGATCATTTTTCCATTGTGGTTTTCAATTATTCTACCTACTAGGAAATTCATAACGGAACACTGCCAGCTTAGAGCTGAAGTCATGTATCGTGATTTTGAACAGGAATTTCTTTTTCAGAAACTCAAGGAGCACAACAAGCCCCACCTGCCAATGTGTCCTCGATGAAGGCCTTTGTGAGAACAAAGTTTGTTATGTCCAATATGAGAGAAACATATAAAAAGCTGATTACATGATTTTTCAACCCGAATATTGTTGAAAAAGAGATCCAAATCAAAATTTTAAAAGGGTAAAAATTCATTAGCTGCAGCACCTTTAGTGACAAAGTATATCAAAATAGTACAGACAAAATATCCTGTTAGTAAATTTAAGAAGAAGAAATTCAAATACCGCTGAGCACCCATTTTGTCATAAAGTATAAAGCCTTCCAAGTATTCAAAATCCTGAAAATACAGATTTAACTAAGATTGACTTTAAAGTAATAATGAATCTGTTCTTTTCAACAGCTGAAAGGGTTTCTCAAACCATGACACATGACAAAGGCTCTTTGCGAACTACACACATTGTCGATGTTGCAAGAAGAAGTCACTAAGAGCCTGCTGCACGCTGCACAGGGTGATTTATAAAACAATCAGTTACTCCTTTTTTCCAGGGACAAGGATAACACAGTTCTCACACAACTGATCCATTCCTGTGGCATGCTAGATATTCATAAATCATTCAACAGTCATAAGATAGAAAGTGGGTCAGGCTTTGTACAAAAATCCATACAAGCAAGCAATTTTACTACAAGTACTGAGAACTAGAGGAGGAAAAAAAGCTTCCTTCAACTATACTGATGACAATAAAACTCGGAGAAAATAGTGTTGAGTCATAATCTACAGCCACTGTAAATGTTTTACACCCCCGTCAACAAAATTTAGATCACTTAAGAGGCACGCTGCTTCAAGCTTGCCTTTTAAGGGCTAACCTATGATGAGTTGGATCTAGCATCCCAACAGACACACACGAGGGTGGGGTGGGGGGG